CAAGGCAAAGTAGGTGGGGCTTATGTGGAAAGGCGGAACTAGATGCATACGAATATCAAATCTAAGAAGAGAAAGCAACCGTCAAACGAGAGTTGACTTCAATAATTTCAGCGATCAGTGCTGGCACCATCTGTCGGACATACAGATAACCACTTGCATTCTCCAGTACACAAAACTCTATGTAAAAATTTAAGTAATGCTCATAAACTGTACAAAGAAGAGCTAGGGATAATAAAGGAGGAGCGAGAATCTTTAAAAAAAAAAAAAAAAAAAAAAAAAAAAAAAAAAGGCAATTAAACATTGCCGAAAATAAAGTATCAGTGAATTGTATAAAAGCTTCTGAAAAGAAATTAAAACTAGCTCGCAAATGGAAATTAAAAAAGTTGGCTGCTAAGGTAGCAAAAAATAAGAAGCTTTTTCCCTAAAAATTTTTAATCAGGATTGAGTGAGATGGACAAAATAGTTATTTTTCAAATTCCTCCTTTAACTATATGTTATGTTATTTTGTAACTATATTATCTCATATGACTACTTTTTCTGGTGTTATATAAAGTACTGTTTATTGAACTAAAAGTGAAGATAATTGAAAGCTATAGTAACAGTTATATATACCGTATTTGACGGCATATAAGACGCACTGGCATATAAGACACACCCTTACTTAGAAGGCCACACACATGTAGATGTAGGAAAAGTTATGTGTGTCTAGACCTTTATCCGGGCTAAAAATAGCATTCAGTATTGAAAGTTAACCTGTGTCCTTCACGTATAAGACACAGGTAACTTTTTTGAGACCAAATTTAGGAAAAAAAGTGCGTCTTATATGCCGTCAAATACAGTATATATATATTTTATCTCTAAAACTTGTCATTGCCTGGAAATGGGCAGTAATATATAACATAAATATGTATATTAGTGTGTTGTAATATTGTGTACAGTATTCATATATCAACTGTTAAGTTACATAAAGAGCATCTTAAAGAAGGTTAATTCATTACAATCTCTTGGTGATTTACTGAATTTTTTTTTTTTTTACAAGTGGAAGATAAAATTAATAGCAAAATAGTAAGTACAAGTATTATTTTAGTTTAATTATATGTATATGTTTAATACTTTTTATATTAAAAGGTTGATATTTTATTAAAATGTTTTTTTTTTTTTTTTCCCTTTAAGGTCATGCGTGCACATTTAGTTTTTGTGTAATTTTGTGTCTTGCGTTGTTCAGCTTTTTTTGCCAACTTGCACTTTCATGCCTGTGTGAATTAAGACCTGCGAGCTGTTTTCCTGTCTGCAGTCTTAGATAGTTTCTCCTCAGTTGCCGAAAAATCTCTAGTATCTTCCATTTTTTAAAATTACTGGAAGGTACATATGTTCAAACGTTATATATGCATGTACGTTACGTATGGGGCTGGATATGATTGCAGTTAGGGAATAATTAGTTATGTAGGGACAGGTCAAAATGTCGCCAAATTAGTTGCTAAAATCAATGAATCATCAACTTGGCAATATCTTGCCAATTTAACAAGATAGCCATTTTCTTCAATGTTACATAGACCAGTCCCTGTAATCTTATTTTTTCACCAGAGCCTTGTCTCTTTAGCTTTTTTACGTTATGCTATACAAAAGATACAATTTCACATGTAATTTTACTAAAATTTTCTACATATATACAAAATTCATAACATTGCCTCATTCCCAAGGACTGCACGGCATGGGCAATGCAATCCCTGGACAGAAAGCCATACTACAACTAAGGAAAATCAATGTGATACTAAAACAATTTCAGTAAATAACATAAACAAATCAAATATTAAATCAAGAAATAAATGCATAAATTTACAAATTTATATATGAATAGAACTATGGTCTTAACATACTGTTACATTAGGCAGCCTAGTAAGGGGCTAAGCTGTCATAATTTTAATGAGTGTAGGTTTAGAATTTGATGACTTATGGATCCGAATTATGTCGTCGTCCAACATATTTAGGACTGTGTAAAGACCTTCCCAGAATGATTGTAGTTGAATAGAAAGTACTTACTGTTAAATTGGATTCCATAACCACACCTTGTCATTCTCATTTAATCGATGTCCAGTAGCTTTTGTGTTTTATTGGGTCTTCTTGTTTTCCGCCACCAAGTTGACTCACTGTTGAGCAAAATTGTGCATCTCTTCAAACCATGCGTAGAAACCTTGAATGTACTCCTCAGGCAGTGAAGGTGCATCCAGAGGTTCACCAAATACGAGATCACAAGTTAGGCGACTATTATGACTTAAGAGCATTTGGGATGGAGAATAGGCGATAGTCTCGCAGACAGCACTGTGATAGGCCAGTAAGTACAGAGGTAACTTCTGGTCCTAGTCCTGTTGATATCTGGAAACCATCTGCAAGGTTGCTAAGGATGTTTTGATTAAAACTTTCTTGAACGCCATCTGACTGTAGATGTAATTGTGCCATTTGATTTTGTCTATGCCAAGTAGTCTGCAAAGATCTTTAATTACAGCCGAGATAAAGTTTTGTCCTTAATCAGAATGTAATTGAAGAAGCACTCCAAATCTAGAAATCTGTGCTGAATCATTACCTTTGCTACCGTGACAGCCGTTTAATTAGGGATATGGTATGCTTCAGGCTACTTTGTGAGGTAATCAGTGATGTATTTATTGCAATCAACTGTTTGTGGCAGAGGCCTCAGGATGTCAAAGGCAATGCATTCAAAAGCCGCTCCTACATTGTAACATTGCAGTTCAGGCCTTTCTGACCCGCACAAGCATCACATGATTTACACCACTTATGTATGTCAACTCTGCCATACTGCTGTTGAAGTGCTCTCAAAGTCTATGCAGTGTCTTCATTATTCCGAAGTGGCCATATTTCAGGCTGCTTTGTAGTTTTTTAAGGACATTTGGGATCATGATAGTATCATTTGGGTTAGTAGAATAATAAATTATATTGTTTATTAAGTAAAGAGGATGCAGTTCCTTCGAGATTATGTAAAAATGATTGGTGCAACTTTAGTGAATTCTCCACCAGCTTTTGTGCAGAGCTGTAGAGTCTGTAGGGAAAATGACCGACTTCTGGAATTTTAAAGGTCCCGACTCTGACTTCCACTTCAATTCCGACTCTCTCGTATATATGTAAACATATAGACATGGGTTACAGCTTATTTTTTTAATATAAAAAGATAATTTGTTTTGTTTTCAACTACACTGCTGGCCATTAAAATTGCAACACCATGAAGGAAAGCAAATACAAAAAAGATATTTATTGCATGTAAACAGTATGGCATGAAGACAAAATGATTAAATTTGTAAGCAGTTTGGGGGTTTACCGGGAGGCGAAATTAGTAGAAACAGCTGCCACCCATGGCAGTGAAAACAGCCCTTACCCGGTTAGCCATGGTGTCAAACTTTGCTTGGATGACAGAAATGGGTAACTCATTCCATGCTACTTTAAGTCTGTGCTACACTTCATCAACCGTATTAGCTGAAAAGGGATGGTGGTCCAGTCTTTCAGCAACCCATGACCTGATGTTTTCAATGGGTGGCAGATCTGGCGACCGTGCAGGCCAGGGCAGCAGTCGATACCCTGTGTATCGAGGAAGGTCAGAACAGAACGTGCAGCATGTTGTTTTGCATTATCTTGTTGGAAGATGGCGTTTGGCAAGCCACGAAGATAGGGCACAACCACTGGACATAAGATTTCAAAATGTACCGATCTGCATTCAAATTACTGTCTATCCGAACTAGAGATGTGCATGTCTTGCACCCAATGGCTGCTCAAACCATTACACCACAGGCAGGCCCCTATACCAAAATTGAATGCAAGCAGGTGATGTGGGGTCTCCTCAGAGCCTCCAGATACGTATATGACCATCGGAATACTGCATGATGAACCGGGACTCGTCTAAAAAGGTAAAATTGTGCCACTTCTGTATCCAGCTTTGCCATTCGGTGCACCAGAGTTGCAGTCTCTCTTTATGCTGCATTGTCAAGGGATGGTGAAGTAATGGTTGCCGTGCTGATAATTCACGCTGCTGCAAACGTCGACGCATCGTACGAGCGGATACTGGGGATGTTGCAAACATGCCTATTTTCTGACTAATGTCCATTATGTGGTTGTACGGTTTAATAGGGCTGACCTCACAATATATCTCTCCTCTCGGGCGTTAGTCATGGGTGGTTGTTGAGATTCTGCATGCCGTTCAGTATGACCCTCAGCAACCCATTAATTCCATATTCGTATGAGAGTGGTTGGATGTCGACTAGTGAGATGGGCGATATCATGCAACGATAAACCACACTCTCGATAGGCAATGATCCTGACTCTATTGCATTCCGACACTTACTGGTAAGCCTTTCTTCTCATTATTCTAGAGATAACACGATTTTCTGGGCAAACATCGACCTTACAAAGCACTTTCCGAATGATAAATCCACTACACAACTTTTCTTTTTTGCAGTGCTTCAGATATCGTTTCTCCCTCCTGCATTGTCTAAATGCACTGAAATACTAATCATTTGCATATCTTAACTTCTTCCTTTCATGTAATTTTGACGTTCATCAGGTTATTCCTGCCTGGTGTTGCAACTTTAATCGTCAGCAGTTTAGATCTTGTTATAGCTGCTTGTAATAAGTCAAAGGGAATATCATGCTTGAGTCATTTCTTTTATCTGAAATTAAAGAGTTAGTTGAAGTTCTGTTTCTTTGTTTCACTGAAAGTCTAAAGAATTGCAGTTTTTCTCATGAGCCCGAAAAGAAAATGTTCAGTTTTGAGTAATCAGTTCTTTTATATTGAATATGCCCTTTTAAGAAAATATGTTCTGATATATGTCAGAAACCTCCTGCTGTCTTTTTTAGCTATTAAACTTTTATTTTAAAACTTAACCATAAGAGTAACTGAAGATAAAATTTAATTGTTTATCTAAATTAGTTTCATAAAAGTTGTATAATTAAAAAAAAAAAAAAAAAAAAAAATAAAATTCCTTTTTCCAATGTTTTAGAATAACAAGAATAAGAAGAAAAAGAAAAAGGGCAAGAAAGAAATGGGTATCCCCGCAACAGCATCATTTGATGCAGATGATAGTTCTAGTCTGCACAGCAGTAGTAATGTTGATGCTGATATTGAGAAAGAATCTCAAAGAACAGAAAATGGTGAGTTGAGAAAATTGCGGTTTGAATAGTTTTATATACTTTTGTTATAATTTCTGTAGTATTTTTCGAAAGAATTAGTCCATACAAAAAGTTTTGGCAGTATAGTATATTAAACATTTATTGTGAATTCACATTGAATCTCCCTTAGTGTTCTAATATGTTAGTAATACTCAAATATATAGTTCATGAAGTCAGAATTATGTAAATGAGAAGCATTCTCGCTAGGTTTCTAAAAAATTCATATTTAATTATATTTTTAATATTAAATATGTAATAAATTTTGTATATACATTAATAGCACTTTGTACAAAGTGAAGTCATTAGTTTCTCTTCATTTTTACTTCCTTGTATGAAGTAAAGAAAGAATTAATATCACGAATTTCAACTAAAATATCCATTTCGACGGCTATCGAATGAAATTTAATGATATTGTTCCGTGACATCTGTATGCAAGGACAGAATAAAGGACTCTTTTTCGCAAAACATATTATAAAATGCATTTAAAATGGATTCAGAAGAGATTTTTTTCATGACATCAGTACATACCTACGTATGTATCTCGCACAACTAAAAAATGAGTAGACTCAGAACATTGAAATTTTGTATATACCATTGCTAAACATGTATTTATGTACCTACTGGTTGCAATTGGCTACATCAAATATATATATATATCCGTCTACTTAGCTGGATGAGCTCATTTTTTTAGTCTTATATGTTGGTAAATTGTGACTTTTCGCTAAAGCAAAAAATGACAAGTGATTGAATTATGTTTTCTGTATGTTCCAGTTAAGGCTTTTATACCTTTAGTTTATTTGCATGCAATAGTTGTACAATTATCAGCAATTTAAAAGTTGTTTAAGTGTGGCTAAGCCTAATAGAGCAGCCATATATGTTTATGTTTGAAACGTGAGAGAATAGTGAATTAACACATTGACTGCCAGTCACTAGAGTTAGATTGATAGTTATTGCCACCCATATGGAAGTAAATTGTATCCAGATGCCAACATACTTATTATACGAAATATGATTTAAAAATATTAATAAAAGATAATTATGTGATACCTAAGTATTATTTAAGGCTTTTATTAAAGAATTTTTTAATTACGCGCCAGTGCGTGATTAGCACTACATGTCAAAATTTTCTCCAAATGCCACATTACGCGCTGACGTGTGGAATGTAAAAAATAAATGTAAATAAGAAAAATAAGTGACAGTACGCATTATTTTTATATCAATATGTATTACAGACAATTATACATATTACAAAGGCATTTATAACAAGAAAATTACGAAGACATTATACAGATAACATCTAGAATGTTGTTTGTGTATTATCTTTGAACAATCTAAGCACTACCCGGGAGATCCTTCACAAAATTTGCAAACATATATTGTATCTTTACGTTTCCCTTGGGAATAGCAACTTTTGCATTGCTTTCTTAGAATTTTCCCCTCTTTTTTTTTTTCTTACCGTGTACTCAGCACAGATTCAGACTGATCACATACAGGAGCACGAACAACAGATGGCTGTTTCAGTGAACTTCGTATTACGGATAAACAGTAGTCCAGTGATGTATTTTCATTGTAATGCTTATTATAGATAAAGTGGGAATTGTTCATCATTATTTGCAAAATATGCACAAATATTTCCGTGAGCCACCTAATTGTTTTTCTCTTACAAGGATAATAAGCAAGCATCTGATCTTGCTTATCAATACCAGCCATAAATTTATTATATTGAATTACAGGTAGAGGTTTCAATTTAATTTCACCTCTCTTGTTTGTTATTTCCGCCATATCATTTTTATATTCATTGGAAATATAAGTGACATCTCTCTTATCCTGCCACTTTGCAATCATCACACCATTAGCATACTTTGCTACAGTTTGCCCTTTCTTCAGTTTTTTTCATTTACCTCTTTCAGAAATGTCTTTCTGTTCTTTTTGATTGTCCCAGTGCAGCTGTTATAATAATTGTCCATAAATATGCCATGTGCTAAATCCAGCATTTCCTCGAGTAAATTCATAACGACTTTTTTTTCATGTTCTCAGAGTTGCCAACTCTCCCGATTTTCGAGCGCTCTCCCGCCAACCCGATTTACAATATATTTCTCCCGACTTTTTTTTATTCTTAATATTTCTCACGATTTATGGAACTTGCTTAATACTTCGTTATAAAAAAAAAAAAAAAAAAAAAAAAAAAAAAAAAAAAAAAAAAAAAAAAAAAAAAAAAAAAAAAAAAAAAAAAAAAAAGTGATTTTGGGCGTCTGAAAGCAACTGAATTTTCTCTAGATTATATATAAAATAAAACCTTGCGAATCAGATGAGAATTTCTCCTTTGTGAGTGACAGCATACGTATCCAGAAATGTTGTTCTCCAGTTCTCCAATGGGCATCGAGCTCCACTGCATGTCATCTGGCATATATTAGTCAATGAGCACAAAGCAAGCTCAAGGCCGTTGGCCATTATTTGGATGTTCTTTCGTTATTTCGTTCATCTTGTCCTGAGTTGTGTGAGTACACGTGCCTTCGGGAAATAGTTTTAGAAATTATCATCTTTTGTTATGTCTGCGAGAAAGGTGAAATACTCATGCACGTTTCAAAAATCATACACAATTGACTTTCCTTCCATTATTTCCTCAAGGAAATGTAATAAATTTGCGATGTGTACCATCTGTCGTTGCGATTTTTCGATTTCGCATGGTGCAAGGGCAGATGTTCTCAAACATGTGCAGCTTTATTTAGAAAAATGTTTCCCGATCGCTAAGAAATACTCAAGTGCAAGGACCAAAACAGGTGCAATTGTTAAAGAAATGGGTTTGAAAAATAAATCTTCAGTTATTGATTGCATTAAAACAGCTCCGTTCTGCCTCTCTATGGATGGAAGCAGTAATACCGATTCAAAACTGTATCCAGTTGTTGTTTCTTTTTTTAATCCAGAGTCTTCAGAAATTGAGTGCAGTTTACTTTCTGTCCCCACTTTAGAAGGACATTCGACAGGCTTTAATAGCCACAGCTAATTATTAAAACTTTAAAAGAAAATGCAGTCCCTCTGGATAATTGCTTAGCACTTGGTGCCGATAATGCACCAGTAATGGTAGGCTTGAAGACTGGTGTTGCAGGCATCTTAAGAAAGGCAAATTCAGATTGCAGATAATGAGGTGCACCTGTCACCTCTTAAATTTAGCAGCTGAAAAAGGGGCAGCTTCTTTACCATTAAATGTGGATGAACACATTGTTGATATTTATTATTATCTTGAAAGAAGTTCTAAAAGAAACGAAAAATTGAAACAGTTCCAACAGCTGCATAATACTGAAATAAGAAAAATTTTGAAACGTGTGTACACGCTGGCTGTCTTTAAAGAAATGCTTATCTAGAATCCTCGATCAATGGAACCCACTTCTTGCATTTTTTAAAGAAGAAGTAAATGCTTCGAGAGTTAAGATAAAAGGCTCTATTGAAAGTTATAAAGTACCTAAAGTAAATGGAGATGTAGTTACTACTTCCATTGTTAAAAATAGGTTTGAGAAAAATAAAGTAATTTCTGCATCGTTCAGCAATTCAACTGGTAGTTCTCAAAATAATACTGCAAAATATAAGCGTAAAGCTGATACAAATTTCTCTCAAAATAAAAAAATTGCTCAACACACGAAACATTTTCCAATTACTGTAAGTTTATCTTGTGAAGAACGAATATTTATGTTTTTTTCTTCGGACCTTAACAAAGCTTTTTGATTTTTTTTACAATTCATTTTGCCATCATTCGATGTTCTTAACGCAATTCTACAAAGCAGAATTCCATTAATTCATGTTTTGGAATCAATGATTTATGATCTGTTTAAAGTTTTTTAAAAGACATTTTATCAAAGTTTGTAAAACCAGTCTGTGTTTTGTCTTGTAATTCTATATATGATGTGATTTATGTGATGAAACAGAAAATTAGAAGAAAGATGAAGATTTGGTAATAGGAGCTGCAACTACAAAAGTAGTGGAAGAACTTTCAGAAGAAGACAAAAATAAGTTTTATCTTCATGTTAGAAGTTACTTCTGTCGAGTATGTGATTACATACTACATAAATTCCCAGTCAACGACGATGAACTGATTTTGCATGCTAAAGTTGCTGATGTTTCTGCTCTAGCAAATGCATCTTTTTCTGATATAAGGTACTTTTTGAACAGATTTCCTGTGTTACTTCGTTTTAGTCATGAAAGATGACGATATTGATGTTGCTACTGGTATACTGCAGTCGCTATTTTGCAGTTTACAATTAGAAAACTTGGATGAAGTTATAAAATCAGCTAGGATTGATACCCAGTGGAGTTTAATTGGAAAACTGAAAGGTGCTGATGGAATTTTAAAAAATATAGTAAACTGTCTAGAAGTTATGTTGGCCATCTTATAACAGTTCCCACATAGTAATGCAGAGTGTGAGAGGATTTTCAGTGTTGTTGCGAAAACGAGGACTAAATTTAGATCTAATATTAGTGATGACACATTAGAAAAACTTTTATTAGCGAAAGCAGGGCCTACGTGTGGCAATTGCTATGAACAAAATTATTAAGTTTCTTTCACAACGAAAGCAAAATCTGCCACTGTTCCATAACGTTTGTATGAAAAACTGATTAAAAGTGTCTTTTTTTTTTTTTTTTTTTTCGATGATCAAGTAATAAAAATGGTTTTTATGTCTAAGGTATTTTTGTTTTGCTTGCATTTAAGAACTTAGTAACTATTTAAAGTTAATTCATTCATTAAAAACTTATATTTTTATGATTTAAAAAGTCTTTTTAACATTGAGAAAAATTCCTGATTTCTTAAAAAAATCTCCTGATTTCTTAAAAAAATCTTCTGATTTTTGAGTGTCATAGGTTGGCAAGTATGACAATGTAGTTCCCTACGCTACTACTGATAAGGCCTCAGTTATTTCAGTCATTGAATAATGCTTGTTTTCCTTTTAATGTGTTGTTTTACCATAAATAATCAAACCAATACTTTGATG